TGCAAAGATAGGGAGCAAATACATTGACAGGGCTGCCACTTTATTTGGGGACTCTAAAATTGAAAACACGGCAACACTAATGTATTTGCTCCCTATCTTCGCATGGAGAGTTTGTCTTGATGTAGAGGTGGACTCTCAGGATAGTGTGGGATATCCCCTCCATTTTGGCCTCAACTTGAGAGTTTTTTTTTGAGCTTGGGAGTTGATTTCAGAGAAAACCAGTGGCACCATCGTGTTTCTCGCGAACTTTTACGTAAGAATCAACAGTCAAATCGCAAATTCCTCACACACGCAACATCTCCATTGGTTCTCCTCGGGAAACCCATTTTATACGAACACTCGATTTTCCGGAAAATTGGATTGGTGGGGGGAGGGGGACTAAGGTCATATCCGGGGGTAGCTCTAAAAATTGCACAGAAATTATATCCACTTGATCCGCGCAGACCTATGTTATGTGACAGAGACGCTTGGATGTCGTAACCCGAGCACGCTCTTGCATCGGAAAAAAAAGTTTTTCTGCTCGCATAATGTGTCAATTAAAAACCAGACAGAGAATATTTTGCGCGTTTATTTTTTTGCCTTTACTTTGATTTTTCCACTTGAAAATTTTTGCACCGAGTTTTGTCCTCCCGTTTTCTCGGAATGCAGCTGTCGTTGAGGACTACATCGTCGAAAAAAAAAGGATGCAAGCTTCGTGCAGAGCCTCGATATAAATGTCATTAATTCTGCGAGGACAGGGAAAATACAGCTCCCTTGAAAAAAATTGAGGTATCAATTCATGAGACATGGGAGATGATAAAGTTAGACCAACATTTTCCTGCTTGACGTGTTCTGTTTTCCAGCAGAAATAATAGCTAGAACTCCCTGAAAATGAGCCATACATTCAATTAATTTAGTTTCTTACATGTTTGACCTTCCGCAGATGACAAGGGATCTTAGTTCAAGGAGGCAAAATCTTCAGAGAGCCGTTTTTTCTCCAGTTGGGTCAAATGCTCTAATTTCCAGGCTTTGACGAAAAACTGTCACTGGATATCAAAGAGTACATTGCGAGTGATTTAGTTCATGCTTGTGGTATTGGAGGATATAGAGTTTCATAATCATAAAACTTTTGCAATGTTATTCCTGGAACGTGTAGATTAGAATTTGACATTTTTTTTTTTTTACCTCAAAAATACGTTTTTGAATTGTAGACTTAAAATCCTCATCACTTCGGCTTAGTTTGGCATTATTATTCGTATCGTGTTTGCCCTTTTTTTCTCTAATTTTCCACCCTCCTATAACTTTTTCTTCTTATTTTCGGAGAAAATAAATTGTAAAGACCCCCAAATTTTAAAGAGGTGAACAAAAAAAAAATTAAATGTAGGAAAATGTCAAACCAAACGTATTCTCTCGCCACTCTTGGCTCACAAACTCAACTTAATTTGTAACTAGTAGTTGCTGCCGGTGTGATGGGTAGGCGAGAGCTCACTGTACAGAGTTGCACAAGGACGCCAAACGCACTACTGGACGCTCCATTTATAATAAAAGTGCACAAAACAGACGGGCAGAGGCAATAAATTATGCTGGAAAACATTAATAAAATAGCAACCAGTTGCGGTGACTAATTGTGGAGAGAGGAGCACGCATAGAGGAACCTGTGAAATAGGTGTATTAACGTGTCCAACAGTTATATGTAGAGACACGCTGCATATACATGTACATGGGTACACGTATAGGTGTGTAAAAAATAGGTGCATGTACGTGGAAGGAATGGGAGTTAGCTGATAGATTTTGCCGGGTTACAAATGCGTGTCGGAGATAAAGGGAGGGAAACATAACAAAATTAAACCAAAGCTGAAGATTAAACTATCATAAACTACGGGAAACGAGCCGAGGTGTCATTAAAAAGTAGTGTGAAAGCCTGGCACCGATAATAGAGAGCACTACTTGACAGGGATACGGAGGGAGGGGGTAGGGGGGGGGGGT